TCGACCATGTCGCCCAAGGAGGCCAAGGCTAAGGGACGCCGAGGCAGTGCCGCTAAGTGTCTACGACACCACGACCTGTGCTACCTTCTGCAGCGGCCCCGGCCAAGGCAACCCCCATGGTCACGGCCAAAGCCAAGGCATCGGGACAGATCCCAGGATGGTCGATTACTATCAACATTCGGCCTCTTCTGTAGCCCGATACAGCGATGCAAGCTGGAGAAGTCTTTCTGCAGAGTGGGCGCCGACACTGGCGCACAAGGCAGTCGCCGATCCTCTGCCGTCTCTTCCTGTAAGCTGACATGTCAATTCGTGCCAAGCAGCCCTTTGGGATGGATCAACAAAAGTTGTGCTGAGCATGTCATTACACCAGACCTGACGCACTCATGGCAGATGCCCTTGCTATCACGGTGGACAGTCACATGCGATACTTGCACTGCTCAGGCTGTTCCCATGGCGGACCATGACGGCATCGAGAAGGCTCCAGGTCAGCGACTTCTTTCACTTGATATCGGAGCCTCCCTGCCTCAAGTTTCTCGCCACAGGTATCAAGTTTCCCGAGAAGACCACTCCGGTGTTCTCTTTGCCCACCACCGTGCCACAGTTTGGGCCTCAGCCTCGTTGCTGAATCTTGCGTCCAACCAGCATGCAACTCTGCAGTGTCTTTGTGTGCACACCGAAGCCCCGCCATGCGGTAGCCGTGAGTGCCTGCAGCTCTTTCAATTCCGAGCATCACTGAAGATCCTGGAAGATTATGTGGTGCATCACCTGCCTACCCCTACTTCTGCAAGTACCACTGCCTTCCTTAGGGTTGCGAGGCCTCTTGCAGATTGCACGCGAGTGATCTCTCCACCTAAGCTTCTAACCTTGCTTGGCCACCCTGTGCTAAAGTGCCCCGTCTGTGCCTTTCGAGGGATCATGGAGCCAACCTCTGAGCATAGCTGGCCGAACTGGCAGGCGGCACTTACTCCGCTTACAGTCGGGACAGAAGTGGAGGTGACTGATGGCCACAGACAGCACCTTATAGGCCGCCGGGCGATCGTGCTTCCTACCTTGGAGTGCGATCAAAACACTACCAGGAACGTGCGGCTGATACAAGGACCTCGAGCTGAGCAGCGTCGTATCTACACGATCGACAGGGAACACCTTGTTCCCCGATTGGGGTCGGAGGCTACTCAAGCTTCCATGGACGATGGCATGCAGCCAAGCATGCGGTGGAGATATGCACCTCCTCCATTGACCATCTTCAGCGCCCGTTACCTTCTCGGCTACCAGGCCCTGGCGACAATGGTACCCCCTGGGGCACCTAAACGGAGTCCAGCAGGCCATTATGTGCACCCACCGCTTGAAGATGCCTCACTTGAGGCTCCGTGGGAGAAACACAGCGATCCAGAAACCAATCGGCCATTCTACTATCACCCGGTGACCAAGCAGGTGACCTGGCGTAAACCACGGCCGGCTCTGGACCTTCCGAGGGATGAGGAGCCAGGGCCCACCAAGCCCGGACGAGGAGAGTTTGAAATACCTCAGCCGCGCACTCCCAGTCCACCTCCTTCCAAGAGGCTGAGAGTGCATACCCCTCTGGATGCCAGGCCGAGAACTTCGACCTCCGCTGCACCGTTGCTGGACCCTGCAGTCGACAAGGTGATGTCCAAAAGCCAGCCCCGGACTTTGATCCTCGATCCTCTGGTGGCCCTCGTGAGTGGAACTTAGCAGATCATGCCCTGCCCGCTACACCAGACCGGGTGCTGATCTGGGGTGCCAAAGCTAGGTTGCAACTACCGCAGCCACCGAGTGCTCCTGCATGCACCTCGGACGTGGATCGTTTTCTCAAGAGCTTCCTCAAGACACGGAAAGGACCAAACGGAGAGTCCCTTGCACCCTTACTTGGAGCACCTGTTCCGCAACCTGATGGCTGGTGGCGTGTTCCATGGACTTCGATGGGAGACTCGCGCCACGAATCGCTGTGCCAGGGAGGTTGGCTGCGTGGCTGGCACGGCTGCAAGCTGGAGGCGCTCTACTCCATCATCTGCCACGGCGAGCTCTTGCCGAGCCAAGATGAGTCGCAGGGGGACCGATTTCTGGCAGGCTGCCCTGGAGTGTACTTGCACCGAGATAGCCTACGACACAAGGTGGAGAACTACATGCGGTGGATACCTCTGTGTGGAGATGGCCTCTTTTGGGCTGCCAAGTGGGAGGTGGTGTATGCTCCCTCAGGAAGCATGAAGCATGGCAAGAGAACTGACCAAGTAATACAAAGTGCAGAATCGGTGGAACTGACCGCCCTCTGGCTCTCGGTGCGATCCGAGAGCATGCTACCGGAAGGGACCACCGTGCAGGCCAAATGGTCCCCTGAACGTGAGGCCAACCCATGCCTGACTCGGTCCAGGCGACGCAGCAGCTCTTTGATGCAGACACTGAACTTCAAAGAACAGTCTGCCTCCTCCAGCTCACACCTCCGGCCGATCCTGAGTTCTGACCCGGAGATCGACAACCATGGCCGACTGAAGCCGAAGCCCAAAACTCGTGGACGACTGTCGTATATCCCCTCTGAACTGGAGAAGGACCGGACCCCAGCTCAGGCGAAGCTCACCATACAATCGGGCAATCTGGTGCTGAAGTCGGCTACAGCAAATAGCTTGGAGGCCCCGGCGTCGCGAAGCACAAAGTTCTCGGCCACAACGACTGTTGCAGCTACAGCTGAGCCTACGACTGCTACGACAACCACTCCGGCTACCACTCCGGAAGTATCGACCCAACGGCCCTCGTCTGATCTGCCTCGCAGAAGCCAAAAACGGGCTCAACCTGACACTGCCCTTGCCGCTCCGAAGCCACGGAAGATGCAGACGAGGCCAAAGCCGAGAAGATCGATCTGGTTTGATGTTACAGATACTCCGGATGACCAACCACCTCCGTCCTCCTTAGCTACAGCCAAAGGCCGAAGCACTGGCACGATCAAGGCTGCCAAGCTCCAAGATCGTGTCCGCAGAAGGATGGCCAGGAAGATGGAGGGAATTTTCCAGGCCAACAGAGCCGCCGGACTCAGCAAAGACCCAGCTGCTTCATCCAGTGCTGCATACAAGGATCACGTATACAGTTCATCATGTCAGAGCCTGCATCAGCTTGGTCAGCCTTGCAAGAGTCGACACACATCTCTTTCACTTAGACCTGCCATGACCTTAGCCTTTGTCCCTCCCAGGTCAAGCCCACCAGTGGCTTCAACAGGCCAAGCTGACACAGGCGGGGATTGCTTCACTGCGCTCTCGGTGCCGCGGACCTGCGCACTTAGGTCCTGGAAGCCACTCATGCGGGCTCCCCGCTTAACAGCCTTTGCCGTTACCTCTGCTGGCTATTGCCTGCATCACTTGCGGGCATCAGGCTCGTGTCTGCCGACATGTCGGACGCCCGACGGCAAGCCCGGATCCTCGCAGGTCCTCTTGTTACACTGCTGGGGCTTTGAAGGGCCACTGAGCTCTTCCACTTGTGCCTATCCAGGCCTTGAACAACCAGCCTGTACGTCTACCACCATGCCGGTCGGGCTCACATGCACATGGACCTGCGGTGCCTCCCAACACCGTGATGACTATCGATGCCCTGTGACTCGAGGTATGCCAGCTGCATTGGCAACAGGTCCTTCTCTGTTGCATGTTCAATCCACAATTGGTGTTCTATATAGTACACACGCCTGGCAGGGGTGGCCGGATGCTTTCCTGACAGACCAACCTGAACAATGTCTGGTGTGCCTTCGTCACACCAGACCATCTGCTGGTCTTGCCCCGGTTCGATGCCCACCTCCACCACCAGGAGCTGGTTTACAACCCGATGGGCTCTCAGTTCTTGCGACCGTCACTTCCATGAGGACTATAGCTCCATTTAGCTGTTCTTTCAGCTTGCCTCCAGGTCTGTCTTCGCCACTGGGCGCAGGCCAGAGTGTCGAGCAGGCATCACCCTGGGACCATCAATTACCCAACTTGTGCAGGATATCCCAGGCACGTGGCTTGCCTATCGTTTGGCGGACCCATGCTGTGAGTGGTGCCGGCTTGAGTACCGTAGATGTACACCATATGCCACCCGTATGCAACAAACCAGCACCTCGCAGGCTAAAAAGATCAGATCCCGCGATCATGGCTATGAAGCACAGTTGCCCACCAAAGCTTCTCAAACGGCACTGGACTTGCACACTATGGACTAGATGTGTAGTCAGCCTGCTGCACAGCACACCGATGCCGATGCAAGCGTTTTTGTCAACATGGACAACTAGCACTATGAGGTGCCCCTTTCACATTCTCTACAAACATGCTCTGAGCTACTCCGGTCCCAATTCCGGAGACCGACATTTTCGTACGGCTGACAACCTGTCATCTCTCAGACACCAGCTGGTTGTCCATCTAGCCTCCGAACAGTCGGTAGGGGCGAGGGTTGTGAGCGGCTGCCACCCGCTCACGAGACCGAAACTCACCTTCGTGGTGAGGGACGGGAAGCCGTGGCAGGAGCCCAATGAACTACACTCTGCTGTGAGGGCAGTCTTACGGGACCCCCCACATAACCACACTATTCGCTCTGACCCAGGAGTCACTCTAGGTACAGCCTGTTCCCCTAGCCTGACCTCCTCTCTGATTTCAGCCATCTGTTCACTGTGGGCTGGTCAAGGAGCCCAGACTGTAGGCCCCTGTGGCGTGCCAAATGGCATGGGCAAACCGCTGCCTGCATATGCTCCACCGCAGTCCAAGCCTCGGTATTTCTTTCTCTACAAACAGGGTCTTCCGATTCGCCTTGTTGCCATCTGGGCTCCAGCACTTTTACACCTTACCTCTCCAGGCCCTCCTCGTCTTAGGAGGCCTCCCTCTGGAGTGCAACCACCAGCACCTGCCACCCGATCTACTATCACTGCTGACAGGTGTCGCCCCCCGCCGAAAATTGACAGGTCTGGTGAGGGATCCTGGCATGTCGACTCTCCCTAAGCTGTGCCCTCGCCCTCTCCTTTTCCTCTCGACCATGCTAGCTCTGCCAAGGTCGGTCTGGGGAGTGCCCTCTGCACACCCACTGCACTTTGCAGTAGCGGGTCACTCAGGAGAACCCAGGTCGGTTGCAGCCAAATCCACAGAGTACACATTTGCAAGGAAGCGATCTTACAAACGTGCTGTGCGACGTGCTGCACAGGACCAGGCCCAGCATACGGTATATCGAGGCCGTGTCTGTACCCTTCAGCAGCTCTGCAGAGGCTATCGGGGACATCGGCCCGCCCCCACGGCTGAGCGTCGTATGCAGCAGGCCGCTCTGAAAGTCTCCCAGGGTCGCTTGTTGTTCCTCTCCTGGAATGCCGGAGGATTGTCCCAGGCCCTGTGGCAGGAATTCTTATTAACACTTGAGAATATGCAGCCTGAAGAACGTCCCCAGATCGTGTGTGTTCAGGAAACTCACTGGACGGACAAGGTGGCACCCCAATTTCCCACTGCCACGTGGGATGTCTACACCTCTCCGACCACTGACAACAAATCTGCTGGGCTCCTGATTCTACTCAACAAGCAGACTTCCCGCAACTGCAGAATTGTTTACGCCGACCCTCAACCGGGTAGGGTGCAACACCTGCGGATACTCCATGACCAATGGGCAGTCGACGTGCTGCACATCTATTTGCCGGGTCGCAATGCTGCCCAAGCCATACATCGGGTTGCTGCACACTGCAAGTATGTACAGGATCGCTGCTCGATTTCAACACCCACGGTTGTGGATCGTCACGCTCAACAGCCGAAACCCTGCCCACATTTTGCAGGTGCACAATTATCGCTGGACCTGTCCAGCGCTTTTGACCTTATGGACTGGCACCTGCTGGACAAGGCTCTACTTGCATCCGAGGTTCCGGCTGAGTTAAGACACCAAATCATGTCCTGGCACTCCGAGATCTCCTATGTCCTTACCCACCTTGGGCACACTGCCAAGGTGGAGGCCCAAAGAGGACTTAGACAAGGGTGTAAACTGGCTCCGTTGCTATGGACACTTGCCCTGGCACAGATATATCGTGAGCTTCTTGCAGAGGGGGACTCGCTCCTCACAGCACCTTGGCTAGAGCAAAGCTCCACGATTTATGCAGATGATATACATCTCAAGGATACCATGCAGAACACTCGTGAGCTGGACGACATGGTGTATCGCTTCAGTAAGATGCTTGATGCTCTTGCTGCTCACGGTATGGTCATCAACTCGGCCAAATCAGCACTGTTGCTGCGACACAAGGGAAGCTTCATCAAAGGCTGGCTGCGACGACATCTCAAACACACACCTGAGGGAGACCTACTTCGTTTTCGTAGCCCATTGGGAAAGGTGTATGAAATCCCGTTGCGTGACCACCACACGTACCTAGGCATTCGCATCTCATATCATTCCCAGGCCAAACAAGCAGTCACCTATCGGCTACAGGCTGCGAATCAGGCATGGCAAAGACTTCGTGGTGTACTGTGCTCTACCAGGCACCTTGCTCAGACACATCGTCTCAGTCTATGGAAATTCACACTGCTTCCCACGCTGCTCTATGGCATCGCGGCATCCAACCCAGGTGCCAAGGATATCCAGCGTATGCAGCAAATGATGACCAAGCAGGTCCGAGCCATCACTCGATCTTTTGCACATCTTCAGAAAGAATCCACACATGACCTCCTGCATAGATGCTCTCCACAATACTGGAGCATCTCCAGCGGGAAGCCGCAGCCTTGCATAGCAGCCTGATGAGTCTGAGTACTCAAACGAGTTTCGTGACCCAGGCCCAGGTGGAAACAGCTCGAGACACTGCTGCTACGCTCCACCTACAAGTACAACGCCAATGGCAGGTACCTCAAGGTGACAATGAGGGCATCACCGAACCTGCTGTCCACCAGTGCCAGGAATGTCACCGGGTCTTTACTTCCTTTCGGCTTCTACGCTCTCACGAGGCTAAATGGCATGGACTTAACACACCAGCTGCTGTCCCCGTGCCTTTTGATAGGTATGCTCATGGAACAGAAGGTCTTCCTACGTGCAGACACTGTGCCCATCCCTTCCGACAATGGGATGGACTTGTCAAACACATCAAACGAAATCGGTGCCAGGTACTCCGTAGACTCGCGACACAATCTCCCGATGATGCCCAATCCTCGGTTCCGAGATCAACTGAATCAGGCCCTTTGCCAGTCCCTGCCTTGGCCACTCTGCCCCCTCAGGCATCTCCTCAGGAGACCCACATTCTCCAGGAGGATAAAGCTGCTACATTTACTGCTCCTCCCGACGAAATACCTGTACCCCCCGTCACAGACACTCCAATGCAGGACAACTCCACCACACCGCGTCATGAGGCTGTTCCCCTTAATCAGCTATCTCATGTTCTTGATGTACTACGCACACGCAGGTGGACTGACCTCCTTGAGAAGCCGGAGATCCAATCGTATCTCCAGCACCATTGCCCGCTGTGTTATCAGTGGCTAGCCACTCCCACCAGCATCAAGTATCATCTTACCATGCAACATCCAGAGTGGAAAGAATGCCAACCTGCGACTCTCAAGCTCCTTACAGGTTTCCGCAGACACACTGTAGTCCCGTGTCGATACTGTCATCAGCGAAACATCAACAAAGATCGACATTGGAAACAGTGTCATGTTCTGCATATCTGTGCATTTCTAGCAGCACATCATGACGCTTACCGCGGATCCCATGGAGCTGGACGAACAGGAGAGGCAATTTTGGGCCCAGGCTGGTCCGGTCAAGAGGGAACAGGAACCACGAAGGGATATGCTGCAACCAGCAGAGCAATCCAAGAGGCAGCGCCTGGCACCGCAGGATCGGAACAAGGGCAAGGGCAAGGGTACCAAGGGCAAAGGCAAGGGAAAGCAGGGCCTACCAAGTCCAACAAGTGCACACCCGGCCATGGGTTACACAAATGGTTTCGGAAGCCATCCACCCAATCCCTGGACACAGACACAGGACTTGCAGCCACTGGGAAGTCCGGATCCCGAATGGATGGAGCACAGGATGAATCGACTGACTCAGCTGGTCCTTCGTCAGGAGCAAATCATCTCAGCCATCCGTCAGGATCTGGTCCTCTACCTCTTTGTACGATCTGGACCAGAAGGGATGGTGCCAGTCTTATGCGATGCAGCGGAGAAGTGGAGGAAGATGAAAGAGGAAGAGCCCGAGAAGATCACTTACTCCCTCAAACTCATGCTGTTCAAGCAACTGCTCATCACCTTGCATCAGAGGTTGACCACTATGATCGCGGACGAGGATGCCCTTGCCAAAGCCAAGACCCTGAACTGGATCGACGATCAGAAACATTGGAAACATCTCACCTGGAATCCCTCCAAACAGTGTCTGGAAGTAGACAACTCAGTGAGGCCAATACCGGCGGAGGACCTGTTGGCCCAACTGGTTCAGATGAGGAAGGCTGTTACGGAGGAGACCCTGGTGAGATTCAAGTCCATGCGGAAGCTCACCACGGAGGTGACCTCCGACTGGATCCAATTCCAGATATGCTTGTCACTTCGTCCAGAGGGTGGAGCCATGTGGAGCACGCTGAACCAGTGGATCGGTCAAGCGTCGTGGCACACACTGGGATGCAGGCTTCGTCGGGATCGACCGAACTACGACACACTGGTCCAGGAAGTGTGGCAGCATCAGATGCAGTACTGAGTGTGCGCCCCAGTCTCAAGGCAGTTCTTCGATTGATCCTCCATAATCCATCGAATTTGTGCTACCTACACTCTACCATCTATGCCCTTTTGTGGACAATCCTTCAGGCCAGGCTACATGATGCATACATCTCGCCTCCACCGCAGGCTCTTACCATGCTGTGTCCACCAATCACTGATTCGACCAATCGCCCCATTCAGGTGCTCCATTCGGTACAGTGGCTTATGCTGCTGCAAGCCTGGCCTTCTGTACATCGTCAGCATGATGCTGCAGAGTTGATACAGTACCTCTTACCCAGGTTCTCGCATACTGGGTTCAATGGTGGCTGGGAGGCCAGAAACTTTGCACCTGGAGGTATTGTTACTCTTGACACGGGGCCTACCCAAGCTCCAATTCCGATTGCGCTACCGGCAGGTCCATGCTTGGAGCTTCAGGAAGCCATTGATGGGTGGAGTGCTCAGGTCACAGCCCGTTATGCACTGCTGACCCCGTCTTGGCTACTCTGCATACAGCTTCAGCGATTCACGAATGCTGAGGGAGACATGCGCAGGGACACCAGACCAATGGTTATGGCCTCGACTACAGTTCGTATGCCTATCTTTGCAGGGCTGAGCACTATGCAAGTTCGATATGTTCACTATCAGGTCGTCGCTGTACAGCTTCACTATGGGGCCACTCCTGACATGGGGCATTACAGAACTATACTACGAGGGCAGCCGCTGTTTGGCGAAGAAAAATGTTGGATCACTGATGACTCCTGCACAGCCAAGTCAGTTGGCACAGAACATGATGGCAACATATATATAGTGTGGCTTCGTCAGGTATTTCCACCCGAAGCCTGATGCTGAGCAAGTGTAGTCTTAGTGGATGGAGCTGGCACTGCCCTCCAGAACCCAAAAGAGGTTCCGATACTCCGAATACCGGGCTATCGTCAGCTCGCTAGGCGAATCTGGACACTTTCGCTGCGTGGTGAATAAATACTACTACTACCACAACAACAACTACTACTGCTACTACTACTACTACTACTACTACTACTACTACTACTGCTACTACTACTACTACTACTACTACTACTACTACTACTACTACTACTACTACTACTACTACTACTACTACTACTACTACTACTACTACTACTACTACTACTACTACTACTACTACTACTACTACTACTCGACGGGGTGGATGTGCGAAGGCCAGAACGCGCTGGATCCTCTCTGGACGTACTGGGGATGGAATCCACGGGAGAAGCGCCAGGAAAAGACGGACCAGGCGCCGATCAAGACCACGGAGCTGCAGAACCACCTCAATCTCCTCGAGCAGAACATTCCGAAGGAGGGAGTGATTCTCAACTTCCGGTGCACCAAGAACATGGAGGAGGAGATACAGGGAGAAGTGTTGCCTTTCATGGCTACGGTGGGTCTTCGGGCTCCGGACGCCGATGCAACCTATCGCGCCCTGAAAGCTCTCTCGGGATGCACGGTGCGCAAGCTGATCGGCACGAGGATCAGACCCGAACGCCTGGCCCGTCAGCCGGTGGCCAAGCAGCTAGAGGAGAACTACCTGGCCACGTCGTACTGTCCGTGGACGCGGAGGTCGGGTCGCTGAACCAAAGCCTCACCGGCCTAGGTCGGCCGGATAGAGGCGCTGGGTTGGGGGGAACCCAGCTGCGAATAAGAGCAACTCTTCAGCAAGTTAGGCTGCCGATGGCCCGGGTCACGAATAGGCACAACTACTGCTATGCTAACGCAGTGGCTCAGGCGATCTACTGGATGGGGGAAATGTCCTGCAATCCTGCAATGGCCCATGGAGGAGCGGATGGTTCCTTCACGGTTCTAGGTAGGTCTGGTAAGGTTAGCTTGGTTGATAGTCTTGTTTGGCGCGCTCTGTTGCGACAGTGGCCCCGGCCGCTCGAGCAGCACGATGCAGGAGAATTTATGAACCATGTTTTGACCCTGCTTCAGCCGGGATCCTATCGCGGGGGATGGCAAGCACGGCTTAGCGAGCCCCTCACAATCACTGACTCAGGCCCGCTGACCACGCCTGTACTGCTTGCTCTCACAGGCCATACGTTTGCTGAGCTTATGGGCCACTCAGTACTCGGTGCGTGCACTGCAAGCACACTCTGGCATGGTGATCTTTCGTCTGCTGCGCTATGACATGGAGGGCGTTGCATCCACAAAAAATCAAGCCCCTGTGTACGTGCAGCCAAGTGAACTGGTGGCCCTACCAGTCTTCGAAAGCGAGGCAGATGTGAGTGTCCGTCACGAGGCCTTCCGAGTGCTGTTCCAGGTATTCCACCTAGGTCAGGAGGTTACATCCGGTCACTACCAGTGTGCTGTTTGTGTTCCCAGTGAAGCTGACCCCGCTGGTGCCTGGCAGTACCACATCTGTGATGATAATAAGTCCCCTAGGAAAGCCCGACCCGCCGATCTACGTACGATAGCCTGTAACTCGTACCTGGTTGGCCTCATACGTTCCAACTAACTTGCAGTTGCTAGGGTAGGCACCATGTACAGGCTCACTAGAGCGATGCTGCCCAAGCCCGATGCATACGGTCCTGGGGCCCACGAGTCGGCTTCCGAAGCGAAGTGACCACCGGCTCTGGCCAAAACATGCACAACAGTTGAGCTTGCACCTCAAGGTGCGTTGTTTCTTTGTCCTAGTTAATGCCAGCGATTGTCCGTTGACGCGCCTCCTGAGCAGCCTGCTCAAGCTTCGGCTGCCAAGAGCCGGGGGAGGGCCGCGAAATCGTCCAAGTTCCAGGCACCTTTGCAAGTCATTGCGCCTGTAGAAAGTTTGCGATGCACTGTCGTTTGCAAGTTTGCGTCCCGGTGCTTAGCTGATGCAGCAACCGCACTCATTTGTTTCCTAGGATGGCCCAAATCCTACAGTTTCCAGTGGATGTGTACACAGATGCGCTGGAGGAGAGCCTTCTTCTCCAAGCGGCAGTAGCCTTGCTCGCCAGACAGGGCGAGGTAGTTCTGCCCCGAAAATAGGCCTAGCGGTTCGCAACGATCTGATATACTGGGCGAGCACGGTGCTCACTCCGGACCATGTCACGCTTTATGCCGGAAAGCTGGAGAGGAGCCTGCGCCGTTGCCTACCCACGTACCTACCAGAGCCGGTGGGAATGCCAGGGCCGAAGACATTGCCGGCGGAGGCTTTGGCCTGGCACTATCTTTCGGAAGGTGGCTCCTCAGTCTGCCGTTCGGCAGGTTGTAGCTGCGCTGGCATGGGCTCCCACCAAGGGCCGTCAGGGGCTGATGACCCCCACAGAGTTGCAGGTTGGGGCATACAGCCACGGCCAGCGCGTGGGCATCTACAGCAGCACCAAGCAGTATCCATCCTTCTGCAGATTGGTCAATCGATTCATTCATCACTTGTGTCCGGAACTGCAATGGAGCACTTTCAGGATTGCCATGAATGAGCGGATGGAGCCACGGAAGCAGCCCATGGACTCGCCGCCGGGGCGGTTTATGGTGGCTCTCTCACACCATGATGGGGGAGCGCTGTGGCTGGAAGATGGCCAAGGCAGCTCCTACGAGGACCTGCAGGGCCATTTGCGGTGCGCCAGCGTGACCAAGCTCTCTTTGGAAGGCGTGCTTTTTCCGTCGTATGCAATGACGCACTGCTCCTGTGAGTGGAGCCTATGTGACAGAGTTACGTTGGAAGCCTTTTGCATAGGAGCATGGAACCGTTTGACTGCCGCGCAGTGTCTCCAGCTTGCTGAGCTGGACTTTCGGCCGAAGAGTAGTAGTGCTGCTGCTTTGGTTTAGTTGCCCGCGGTACCCTGCCGACCTCCCGGTTCCCTAATGGGGTTAGGGTTGTTCGTTAGTAGACCATCTGCTGTACAGCACCAGTGTCGGGCATCGGAGTGCAAAACATGCTTTGCCAGCTAGAGGGCAGCCTGCGTCTTTAAGCCTCAGCTCCGGCCAGGTACGGCGATGGCGCAGAGGAGTCGTGCTCAGATGGCAGGCCTTGTGCAGATGCCGGTGCTATGTTACTGTGCCACGGTGGGGTGTGGAAGGGCTATACACTCCCCGGGGCACAGTCGATGCTGCTCTGCTTGTGCACATGGGCAGCACACCCGGCGCTGCGAACGAGTGGTTGCTGAGGCCTTGCGAAGGTCCCACAGTGTATGCACAACGGAGGGCTGCGTGCTTCCTGTTGGACCGGGCCATACGACGTGCTGCTCAGCCGTAGCAGCCAAGGACAGCTTCACCCGGTTAGGTGCCATCGTCGAATGCCTCGACAGCAGCTACCGCTACAGACCATACAGGACCAGGCTTCAGTGCCGGCACAGCATGGGCGCGGGCGGCATCGAGCGAGTACTCAGCAGCCGATGGTGCAACCAGCGGCAGCCTATATGGGGGCGATATCCACTGCTAATGGAGGCCAATCTTCTACAGGCACTGGCACTGCTCCTGGCAATGGCCAGGGTCTTCCCAGCGGATTGAGTGAGACGACCAATCAGGGGTCAGCCACAGTGGATGACGGTGCCATGATTGCCACCAGACCGGTTGCGCCTCTTCCCGGCAATGCTGATGCTGTGGATTGCTATGATCTGAACGAGCTCGACTGAGCTAGCTCGGCATCCGGAGTGTCGCGATCTGGCGATGGCAGTTTTGACGATCGAGGCCTCACAGCTGGACGGACGATGCTGCAGTTTATTCTTTAGGAGTTGTTGCCACTAGGATCCCCAGCAGAGGGATGCAGTCAACAGAACTGCCGGGTAAAACATGCCTATCGTCGGATCATCATCGAACTGGTGTGACGCCCGCAATGCAATACTACTACTACTCCTGCTGCTGCTGCTCCTACTGCTATTACTACTACTACTACTACTACTACTACTACCACTACCACTACCAGTACGACTACGACTACGACTACGACTACTACTACTACTACTACTACTACTAGGGGCAATGGCACTAAAGATCCCATGTCCCTCGAGGGCCTCAAAAAGTATTATGGTCTGGGGGGAAGAGATGCAAGAGTCAAGGAGAATCTGCCAAATGCTCCTCGAAAGGAGCTGCATTTCCCTTGCTGTAGACGATGGTTACCGCGACTGCCCTGTACCTGTGCACTAGCACACACGTTACCCCACGTGTACTCATGTCAGACGCACATGCCGAAACTGCAAAACGTCAGCAGTAGTAATCATAAAATAGGAAAACGGGAGAGTTGAACGTCAGCCCGGAGATCTGAACAACTCTGGTTCTTGACCAGTTGCCCACGAAGGGTCACCAGTGTGCCATGATTCGGCAGAAGGAAAGAGGTCAAGAGAAAAAATGCGAAGAATGTTGTACGTTGTACTGAAACAAGGTGACGTTGATGATGATGATAACGAGAATGAGATGCGAATTTTGTTCCAAGCATGCAAAACATCAAGAATGGCATGAGAACTTGTATTGAGAATGATCCGTGAGGGTGTGGGTCCTGCCCTCGTTGTGTCAGACACCAGGACTGGCACAGCATGAGATGAGATGGAGATGAACGTGATAATGAAAATCTCCCCCAGCTGCCCGCGCTGGGGCCCAAGGCGGATACAAGCAGGTACGTGTCCTGAGGTGTGGAGGAGAGCTTCGTTGGGCGGAGCACCTCCACACCTCCTCCGGCCGCCTGCAGACAATCACTGATGCAGGTTTCTTGTTTTGCATGATTGAAAGAAACTAATAGGAGCGACCCTCTGTTCCCATGTGTTAGGGAAGTTCTCACTCACTCTCACTCACACACACACACAGTCAATGAAAGAACACCAAGATTGGTGACGGCGCTTCTTCTCAGGTGTTCGGCGAGGAGAAGAAGTTCTGCAGCAAGAGGCCAGCCCTGTTGAGCTTGCTGTTTCCAGTTACATTGTTGAGCTTCGCCTGGTAGGCGTGTTTGGCGGTAATTATCGGGCGTGTTTAAGTACTTATGGTGAGGTCTTTGAGCCATTTTGGCAATGTTTCCGTATCAATACTTGCTTGCCTTCTCCACCATCGTGTGCCCGAAGTTACCCCATCCTGCTATGAGCACACGAAAAACGTCGCGCCTACAGGAAATCAAACTCTTGAAGCCGCTCTGGCATTGAGATAGCAAAACCACGCGGACCGGCCTTGTCTCGGTGGAGATGTTGCTGCTTGTGTGTAGAAGTGACGGACATATCATCTCGAAGCCTATGGGAACGTTCCTTTTGCTGTGTAGTAGTTTTTGCCGCGGCAGTGGGATTTGAGAGATTGTCGGAGCGAAATCAAGATTCCAAGATGCGGGCTGGAAAGCTTCCGAGCCACAAAAAAGAGTGCTGGTCTTCTCGACTCACTGGAAGTCAGAGAAGTGTGAACCTGATTGTAGCTTGCCGACTCGTTGACTTGCGTTCTCACGGTGTCTAATCCCTTCGGCTGACCTTTACCCGTTTGCCCGCAGCAGCCCTTTTTGCACAGAACTTCTCACTGTGCAGATCTCGGGAGCTGCGGCACAGCCACGACGACATGCAGGCCCGCTGCTTTCCATGCAGCTTGCCATGTCTCTCCAAGTGTCTTTGGTAACGGAAGGCAGAGCAAGAGAGGCAGGATGCAGACTTGTCACAGGCACAGCTTGAGCGCCTCGGTGCAGAATCATTTCGTGATTTTTGCAAAAAAAGCGACCTGTCTTGTAAGGCTTGAGTCTTGGAGCAGCAAGATAGAGGCACAACGGCATATTGCACTACACAAACAGCCTGTTCACTCTTCTTCTTTTCGAGCAATGCCAGCAGGAGTTGGCCAATGCTTTTGCCTCCGATGAGAAAGATCTCAAGGCTGCCACAACACACGGTCCTGCCCGGACAAACATTGCAGGGTCTTGGTTTCTGAAGGAGGCCGAAAATCTCCGAGTCAAGGATTCCAAGGTCTTCATTGAAGCGGAGAAGGCTTCGGGGTTTGCCGGGCGACACGCACATCATTGAGTGCTGCTGCAGTGACTGATTTCGAGTGCGGTAGAAAAAGCCGGCCTTCGCGGAGATCGCCCGGATCCCTGCAAGAGCAGGAGATGCAGCGGCAGTCATGCACCGGATGTTGACGCATCTATTCCGGCTGTGCTTGCAGTATTTACACCCACTCATTTCGAGCAAGGAATATCTTGAAGCTTCGTACACATCTGTTCTTTCCATCTGTTCGGGCGTTTTTCAACAGCAGTAGAGTATCTCGAACATTTGTGGTGCAAGCATGTTGCAGAAAAAGGCTACGTGTACTGTGACCTAGCTTTGCTGATGCCAGCCTTTGTCTGTTTTGCACTGGCATTTCAGGGGCTTTCTTCAACTGTGGATGCCTTGGATCGTGCGGTTGGCCTTCTTGGACACGAGCAGCGTTCCTCGGCTATCTACGCGCGTTCCCAAGCAACAATTGGACGAGCTATCCCGAGTCACTGAGGTAGGGCTACCCAAGGCAGTGCACTTTTGCAGATGGAGGAGAACGGAACACCTATCGTGCTGTGCCAAGACTACTGGAGGCAATTTGCAAACAACAGAGCTGCTGGCAGCATGACAGGTGGAAGCCTTGTCGGCGATTGTAGAGGCTGGTTCTTATCGTTTTGCAACACCGGTAACGGTAATCGAAAGCCTTGGTCAAGGCATACGGGGTCAAAGTGGATGATCAGCACCAGTTGCAGGCATTGCTGCAAGGCCTACTCCCAACCCTGGGACTTGAAGTTTCTTTTCTTTGCAATATATGCTGCGCACACACAAGCATTTTTCAGAAGATGATAATGCACGTGCATTGAATGAGCGAAATGACATGCAATCTGATTGAACCAGACGATGTATTCTGTCGCGAGAACCAGACACCCGGACCCCACGGAGACAGTTGACAGTCATCATGCTCGCGATATGAGATGTGGATGACAAGCGGTTTTATGGTCTTATGTTGCATTTAACCCTGCTTGTCCTTGCCATGCGGCGGGCAACAACATCCTCAACTGTGTTGCTACAGGTATGAAAAGCCATCTCGAGGGACAGTGCGCAAATTGCATAATGCATCATGAGCAAATAGAAGCGACAAGGGAGGGAGGACAAGGGAAGGGTCTCTGGCTGACATGGGCTGGTCGTGAAGTCACAGAGCGAGGGCTATAGTGCTGAGAAGTGAGTTCGATCTTCGGCTGGAGCTCATCGGAACCACGGCCCTTTTGTACCTCAGTCTACAGTCTTGTTCCGAGATTGCACTCATGAACCCATCCTTGCAACTAGCTTGTGGGCTCATACCAGTGCTCTGAGGAATGATTGGAATGATTGCGGGAGACTCCACCTCTGACTGGCAAGCGAAACAGGACGGAGGAGGTGGACCTGAGCTTGGGGGTGCAGAGCTTGGAGGTCCGGGAAGACGTGCACAGAGGGCAGACACAAACACAAGTCCCGATTTTTGTGAAGGCTCCGTTTCGGGGGGCAAACCCTTAGCACAGCACTCTTCCCGCAAGCCGGGTCGGCGAACAGCCGGGAGAATTCAGCCTTTCGGAACGAAACTTTTGTGAGCGGTGGAGGGCCCTTATCACGTTAACTTCTCTCTATTTGAGCGGCCCTGGACAAGGGGTATCGTTTTTGGGTTTGCCCTATCGTTTTACAGGTTTCTGAGAATGGGTAAACACTGTCTGTACAGAGCGAATGGGCATGGTTCAGCAAACAGCCTACTGAACAATTTGTTGGGCATCGTTAGGGCAACGTTACCACCAGCAGTTCACCAAGAAAAGGAGTGTTCAGTCGCTGGTTGCTCAATCTATAGACTCTATAGGTTCACCTTACACCACTCTGACACACTGCAACCGGCTGTGGCAAAGAGCTGCGGACAATCCGTGTTTGGCTTTTTGGGGTGCCAGTAGCAGCATCTGACGCAGGAGCAGTTGCGGTAGCAGTAGGGCCGGCAGTACAGGTACAAGTAGTAGTAGGCAGGAAGGGTCGGAAGGGGTCACACGGAGTGCGGGGTGGGCTACATCTGTATCCGTCCTGGGCCCCAGCATGGGCAGCTGGGGGGCATCACTCATTCATCGTATGTGGTGTACGTTTCCTTGTGTCTGGCGCCGCGGCAGGACCCTACCCCAAGGAGCAGTTTTGTGTTTCCGCGTGCCAATTCTGCTGTTTAGCATAAAGGCACGAATACAATTGGTTTCTTTTTCGGGTTTCATCTCGCAATCTTCATCTTTGCCTCGGTTACGGTGTGATGTCGTGTAGCAGAGTTCCAGCAACTCATGGATCAGTGTGTCGTCAATATGCAAATGCGTCCGTTCGGTTTTGTTCTGTCAGAGATGTACTTTTCTTCTTTGGAGATGTCTTTCGAAGCATGAAGCGATGAGACGAGGCTTGCGAGCAGAGACATCGGAAGAGGCATCTTTTTGCTTTCGCTGTCAGGGATTTTGTGCAGACACGGTGCTTTGAAATGTCACGTGGTTGCATATGTTGCATGTCATGTCAGGAAGCAGAAGATGCTGCGCTGAACACGGCCTTTGGTGTAGAGCCTGCGACCTCCAAGCACGCTTCTGCTCTTGCTTTATTGACTTCCGTGCAGTCTCAGTACTTGCAAGTGCTGGGTATTCTCGCCTTCCACTTGCAGGTCGCGGAGTCGCCGTCTCATCGGGGTGCGACCCTGGAACTGTGTTGTCCAGTCTTCTTGAGTGCAACTTTGCCTGCCGTTGGCAGTTTACAGCATGTCGAGCCCAGCCCCAGCCAGAGCCAGTCTTTTTATCATGTTCCAGTTCCCAAACTCAAGTTCAAAACGATAAGTGTCTTGTGCCATGGGCGGCCCAGACAGGCTGGCCAAGGCTTTCGGCACAGTAGATGCGCTGATGCATCAGCTGTGAAGTCAGACTGCACTTCCGGCAGGCAGACGAGTTGAAGTCAAGCAGCTTCGTGTGTCTTGGCTACGAAGTGCCAGGCTCTTCACCATACTTCCATCTGCATTCGATGTCCGCGAGCAAGCAACTTTGGAAAGGCAGTCGGCGGTCTCGGAGTTTTGCCAGCTTGGAGTTTTTTGAAGAGCACAGGCCACTGCAAGATCTAATCTAGAAGGGTCTGCATGTGGCAGTGACCTTATGCGCACCAGAACCCAGTAACAACTGTCGGGCAACACTTGCACTGTGACAGATTGCCAACACTGCGGGAACGTGCAATCAGCAAGACAAGTGCAACGGTCAGATCCGGGCATGAAAACTTGATGAATGAACAAGGTACGGCTACGATGCACATTGCTAGGTTGCGGTCAGGGGGCTGCTGCTTGAGAGGCGGCCCACTGTTTCATGAGAGGCCTGAAGGGCTAAGCCTCGTGCCTTGCCTGGCGCTGCTAGACCCTCTGGATGCAACGGTGGAGAGAGAGGTTACTTCTGACTGAAAGCCAGTCTGCTTTGCTTTGCATGTAGTCGCAGGATGTGACAGGCATAGCGAGAATCCGGGCACATCTCATTGGAGAGTTCGGTGGGCTCTTCGATATGTCCTGGTGCTCGTGTAAGACACCGTCGGTACAGGCATAACCTTCCACATAAACCGGATTCCCCCAGCCCCCAGCTGTACAACCCGGTCGGATCACTCGTTGTTTCTGCCCGTCTCGTTTGCAAGTGCAGAGCTTTCGAGCGCAAAGCATCCCAAAATCTTGCAAGCATTCCGAGAGTTGCCACATGTTGTCGCACATGATCTATTACGGAAGGGACGGGTGATTGCAGTGACTCGTGATTGTTTCGCCGCCGCCCAGCTGTCGGCCCCATCGCCCCCAGAAGTGGAGCTGGCAGCGCTTCGTACGTTGCAACATGTTGCAACCTGCAAATTGTGTGTGTGTGTGTGTTGGTCGTGTGTTGAGTCGCTGTGAAGTTTCAGCCGCTTTGCCAAGGTTGGGTCTCGACGCTTGCACGGTTGTCGCTGATGGCAGATCACTCTCCAGTTTGCCTCGGGATGATGAACAGCTTCAGCTTCTGGAAGGATCGATCCTGGCAGCGGTGAGGCTCGCAGTCATTTTGGAAGGGAAGTCAGCTTGTCGATTCGATGTTTTGCGCACTTGTTCCGCGGATGTTGGCAGCTGAGAGAAGGGAGGACCGAGAGTTCGTTGCCGTTTCTGTCCGGCCTACGCCAACACAAACTTAGGCCCAGGGGGTTGGAAGCACCGCGCCCAAGCCACATCACGTCAATCACAGCCGAGCAGCCCACGAGGCGCGCTGTTCAAAGCAGATGAGCATGTTTTGTGCTAGGCCCGAGCTTGCAGAGCAGACGGTCCATGAAGAGGGTCCCTCGGCTATCCAGGACCTGCATGTTTCCGCAACGCGCCCAGAGAAAGAAAGCATTTCTGCTCGCTGCTAAGAAGTGCGTCCTCCTCGGCTTCTACGAGGGGCGAGCGGAGGAAGCAGTCTTCTAAGCGGCTTGACCGACGAGCCACTCGTCCCTCAAAAGTGTTTCTTCCCTCGAAACTAAACGCTGTTCGTCCTAGCCAGGCGAGAGGCAGCAAAAAAAGATGTGATTCCCCGCAGTGCGACCTAGTCAGCGAAGCGGGTGGGAAAAGAACGCTGTCTGTCTTACACGAAGTGTTTGGCGTCGTTTCCTCTGGTCGAGGCTGCCAGGTTCTGCTCTTCCTTGGATCCTCACGGAGCGTGCCAAGCTGCTTGTTGCAGGTTTGCAGTGCTCCAAGCAGAAGGCATTTTTGAAATGAGCTGCAGGTTGGCGATCGGACTGGCAGTGCTCCTCAATGCCGCCGCAATGAGTGTGGAAGTCGAAGCTGAGTTGCGCTTTGGAAGGACGGGGAGCACCACTTGCATATGGTTGCTGTTGCTATCTCACGTTGGGGCAGGACCTCCATGCTCGGATTATCTATGTACATCGTGCCATGAATCCGTGAGATCAATCTCTTTTGTTATATGTTGCATCTGTTTGATGCGATATGGCCCAAAACCGATATCGATGCACTCAGGTTCAATTGGTGTTCCTCCTTTTGTTCATTCTGGAACTGCTGCTGAACATCCGCTGCTGGGGATTGGGCTTCTTTTTCAAGCACGGCGCATATGTGGCCCGGTTATGAGAGCTTGAGTTTGATATTGCTTTGCCTTAGAAGCGATCTTGTCAAGCCTGTTGCGCGAGGCTCCCACCAAAGGCTCTTCCTGGCGGTGTGCGAGACTAGTACGTGCATTTGCCTACAAGTTGCAGATTCAAGGAATATTTGACTTCTTCGTTGTGCTGACTTCTGTGGTGGATTTGTGCATTATGAGACCGATGGATCTGATATCTGAAATGTCTGCACGCAAGACAGCGCAAGCTTTCAGTGTGTTCCGAATACTTCAGTTGTTCCGTCTGGCGCGGATTTTCCAGTTGCTACGCCTGTCGCACGAGCTGTCGCTCCTGGCCTTCAACTTGGCAATGTCGCTGAAGGCTGTCTTTTGGGTGTTTTTGCTGCTGTTCACCTTGATATACATCGGTGCACTGTTCTGTGCAAGTGAACTTGGCCATTCAGATAACGTGCAGCTACGAAGCCTCTTCGGCAATCTTTGGGCCAGTATCTTCTCGCATTTCAAGCTCATGACCCTGGAGCAATGGGTTGACGTGTGCAATCTAGCCATGGAAGAGAATCCGGTTTGGGCAGTATATTTTCTGTGCTTCATAATTCTCACAAACTTGACTTTGGTAAACCTTGTCACTGGGTTAATCATCACTGGCGTCGTGGAGCATGCCAAAGAAGAAGACTGGACGTGGTTGGAACAGCTTGTGGAAGAGGTTCCCTTCATCGAAGCTCTGGAAGAATTAGTCGCCAAAGGCAAAGAAAGGAGCGAGACTATGACTACCTTGAGCTTCAGCGACTTTGAGCTTCTTCTTGCCGAGCCAGTCTTTCAGCAAATAGCGTCGCTGTACGGAATCTCGCTACAAATGGAAGCGCGGCAGCTCTTCGACATCCTGGACTCGGATGGAAACGGCACACTGGAGATCCGTGAGATGGCACAGTGCTTGCTACAACTCAGGGGTTCCAAGCAATGCTTGCATCCCGTTCATGTGCGACACGAGGTGAACAGGAAAGGTCAAGCTTTCGCTGCCCATGTGGCTGAGCTGGAGCAGAAGCTGCCTCAACAATATTTTCGCGACATCGAGAACTGGGAGCAATCCTTAAAGGACCAGCTTTGCTTCTGGAGCCAGGAGATTCCTTCGGAAGAAATATCTCAGAGAGGGTTGAGGAGAAGGCCAAGCCAGGAAGTTGCATCGCAGCCATCGCAGTATACATCCTCCTCCAACTCCTTCCTGAAGTTGTTGCATGATGCCTGTGTCTCCATTGAGGCTGGGCTCGGAAGCATGTGCCTGGATGTTTGAGCAGAGCATGAGCAAGTAGCGGAAGCAGCAGCTGTGCAGCTTGAAAGGTCTTGCGCACAAGAATTGCGTCAACTGCCGCAGAGCTTCGATCGCTTCACATGCAGGACAGTCTTGCATCCGTGCCTGAGATGTAAATTGAACGCACAGTTGTGCAGGAGAAGCACTTGGAAGCACAACTGTCTGTCTCCTGCGAAAGCAGGGCTACACAGGTGTGCAACGATTTGTGAGACTGGGTGGCTGCTTTAGTGCAGAGCAAAAGAGCTGGCTGCTGCGCGTCCGAGGTTGCTTGTAGCAATCATTCTTTGAGTAACTGTCTGGTTCGCCGTGCTGAGTGGCTTCTGGGCTGGTGGTTTTGATGCTTGGATGACGTGACGCTATCGTCGAACTACTGTCTGCGAAGGTACTGAACGAAATCCTGGAGAAAGCTCAGGGCGAGTAGGGCGCCTGGTCATTGTAGTGCCGACATGGACTCGCAGTGGCAAATCCGCTGCCGACGAACAGCTGGGAAGCAATCGACCCTGCTAGTCCCGAGCACGATGTTGCTGTCTTATCGGCCAGGATGCACGCCGTGAGCTACATCACCGTCTCCAGTTTGGAAAGCAAGCATGACAATTTCAAGGCTTACACATCCGCAAACCCTGCATGGAACATAGATCTCAAAACCAATCAACACACAAGTCGGCAGCAAGACTGCGACGGTGAATCTAGAAGTCTGGATCAGTCCGAACAACAGATCTCTCAATCCTCTGACCTCCAGATAGATTGCGAGAGGGATGTGAGTGACACAAGGTGACAGCAACAGCTGGGCACACATCTTGAACCGTCAGGCAGACAAGACAGAGATTTAGCACTCTGAACATCCTCACAATGGCTTCACCTTGCAAGGTTTTTTGGTTATTTTGCAAATCTCGATAAGATCCAATAAGTAACGGCATGGTATGTCGTGCAGGATTTGCAGTTTTCACCTTCGGAACGTCTCCCCGTCGTTTTTTTTGGCCCTTCTTGTCTTTAGTCGGGAATTGGGCTTCGTGTCCGTTCACGTCCCCTGGGCCCAGATGCCTGAATGCAGGGGAAACGAGGGTTGGGGCCGGTTGGAACAATCCCTGGCAGCAGCTCAGGAAGTTACACATGCAGCTCGCATACACCACTGCTCGTGACAACGTGCAAAGGATTAAGTCCACGTTGACGGCACTGCAGACACGTATACGCGGATCGGTCGCCCCGCTTTGAGGCACTGTTGGTGTTCTGAGCAATTGAATGGCAGCCAGTCAGATTCATCATGGGACTGGCAGCGTTGCATCTGCAAGACACGCCGAGCCCTTCAGTCGACTGAAGCGCTGCCGCACTCGTACAGCCAGAAGCCGTCACAGAAACATCGACTGACCAATCGGTCACCAATCGATTGTGCAGCGGATCGAGACGCTGATGCAATCAGTGCACGTATGCTAAAAGTCTTTCGCCATTTCAGTGAAATGTCGTGAAAGAAATCTGCGCAAACGGTTTGGAGCCAATTCTCATGCCTGAGGCTCGAGCAGCTGCGGCGCAAAGAGCAGAGAGATCTGCACAACTTTGAGCTGCGAAAGCAGCCCGTGCCTTCATTCCTGGTGCTTCCTAGTTTGGGTTTCGACGTGCAAAGTCTCGGGCGATGACGTTCGTGAATGCTGTGTGGATTCTGGATCTGTTTTGCGCGGCACAGTAGTTCCAGCCCATGGCAGCTTTCGTGCTGCATCCCGTGGCTTCAACATGCCTAATGTGAACCTGCAAGCAAGCATGGACATATCCTATCAGTTGCAGAGCGTCCGCAGCCAAGTGCATGTCCAATGAAGTACGAGGTCACTGGCTGATCAGATGGCCTTCAAGAAGCGAGACTTGGCAACGCGCTTGAACTGAACTTCTGTGAGTCAGGTGTTGTCGCGCATTTTGCTTGAGTCATTGTAGACGGGGCGCAGGTCACGTTGATATTGGTGTCTTGCCCAGGCTGCTGCAAAGGGAACCCGTAGTGAAGCTTCCCAAAGGAAGGCAGCGTCTGCTTCTCGTCTGCGCTTATCACTGATCACGAAAGCGAGTCCGGTGAGAGCTCAGCTGGAGTTTTGGTTAGACTTCTGCTCGGAAAGCATGGAATCTTGTCCTCAAGGCAAAGTCAGTCTTTTCAGATTGATTGGTCAGGGCGGCACCCCAGCAAAAATGGACAAGTCTCAGGACCTTGTGCCGATGCAGTGCAGTAGGGTTGCCAGTAGCAGCAGAACAACTGCGCGCAGCAATGGCAGTGCAAGGCAAAGGCGGACCAGGAGGTCGCAAGGGTCCGCCGTGAAAGCGTTCTAGGCTCCAGAAGTTTGATAGTGTCAAAAATTAGGATGCAGTTCAAAGCTCCCGCTTGCCTTGCCCGAAGTCTAACAAGACGAGCAAGCTGCGGCCGGGGGTAGTAGCAACAGTGGCATTGGTAAGGACAGTGAAAAAGATTAATGGTGCGAGAAGATTAAGTCTGGTAACGGTATTTGAAGTTGGACAGGGAAACCAAGAGTCTGGAGGCTTACCCTTACTCCAGTAAGTTTCCAAGAGTCACCAGCCCAGCAGCGACTACTAATGCTGATGCGATTGCTAGTCGTCTCTGGAAGTACCTTGCAACAACCCTCCCGACGATTCGCGAGTGAATCGACACGACCTACGGCCTAGCCTACAGTCATACCTTGTTTCCGTAAGGAGAAGCTCCTTGCGGCTGCTCGGTCCGGTATTGTTCAAGCTGCCGCGAGCTGATTCGATCGGATTCTTCCTCTTTGCAGCTTGTCAGTTGCAGCACGTAGATCCACACCTAAACAGCTACACCTGAGGCTGCCGCCCTTGAGGAACGGTGTGAGCAAAGTGCAGAATAAGAATTTTATTCTGCTGTTCTGGCGTGGAGGACTTGCAAAAATCTTGCCTCCAAAAGGCAGTTCCAACCTCGGGTCGGATGCGTGCGGAAATCTGATGCTTTAGGTTCTTTGTGCAATTGCTGCCCACCCCGCTGGCCCGATGACTCTTGCAGCTAAGTCCAAGTTCGAGGAGGAGACTCAAGCAAGAACCGAGGAAGTTCATGCTGCTTGTCTGTTGTTGAGAATCTCCTAAGTAAGATGTACAGAGGCATGTTTGGCTAGCGTAGTAGTTTTTCCTTAATGTTTTTATCGTGCATGGTCTAGATGCCTTTGCATGCTGGATTGGGGCAATCGCTTCCGCCAGGCTTGGTTCGGTTTACAGGGCACGTTGCGCGAGTTGATGTTGAAGCTTAGCCGTATCATCACCTGGCCTGAATCGAGTGCCGAGGAAGAGTAGTAGTAGGAGTAGTAGTAGTAGGAGTAGTAGTAGTAGTAGTAGCAGCAGCAGTAGTAGTAGTAGTAGTAGTAGTAGTCGTAGTAGTAGTAGCAGCAGTAGTAGTAGTAGTAGTAGTAGTAGTGCTTTGCAACCGTCGCACAGATCCAAGTGCCAGACGAGGGAAGGCAGTGAGCCGCTGTAGCAACTCACCGGCTGCTCTGTGGCAGCTGCATCGTTGTCCAAGTCCTGAAACGCGCCCGCAGGCGCTAAGCTCGCATACAGTAAGGGCTCCACGATTCTCTCGACGATGAGTGATTTGATACCGACGCTCATATGCATTGTAGTCGCTGTTGCATCGGTCTGTATGGACACCCAGTGAGCACAGACTGCAGCACTGGCGATGCCGCAGTTTCAGATACTCAAGGGTGCATCCAGGGACCTGACAAAGCCGGCCACGACGCACCGATTGCCGCGAGGGTTGCGACCACCGTTGCCCGTTGCACTAGCATCGGCGCCTGTGCTGGCTCCCGCGGCACCAATCGCTGCACCATTCGCCGCCCCAGACATGACCTAGGCCGACAATGTGATAGGAGTTATGCACAGCAGGGTTGCGTGGCTCATAGACACAGCATCCAGAATAGTTGCAGTGAAGGGCAGTTTTACCTAGCTCACAAGAGTACGGCGCCAGCGGTGGGCTGCTTTCGTCAGAGTTTGCGCTTGCACAGGCTGCGCAATGTCAGCGCAGCAACTTCGGAACAGCTAGCCTGAACGTAGCACTTGCGATCCACAGTGCAAGCATATAGGATAGGCTGCCCGGGTGCACCAGGATTTCAGTCATCGAACTCAAACTGGTGCTTGACATGGGCTTGGCACAATACAAGAAAGAGCAGGCAGGGAGGCGGACAGGGGGAAAGGCAGAGGAAGAACCAGGGGCCTAAGAACCCAAAGCCGACCATCCTAGCAACCAGAACTGCCACCAAGCACGTGCATGTAGTGAGCTGCAGTCCTGTTGTTGCGATTCCGATTCCTAGGCATCACATCACTGGCAACCATGTGCTAGCAAGCACAGATCAAAAAGTCGAGCCGAAACTCGGGCCCGCGGCCCGGTCTGCCTCATGCAGCGCTCTGGCTTTGGCCATCGTGGCCGCTGTGAGAAGAAGCAGGAGCCGAGGTGCTTCTGAAGAAGTGGCTGAGCTTTCGCTGCTTCCTAGTGGTTTCTTCAGGCTTCCATGCGTCCCAGTCCTCAGGAAGAAGATAGCCAGCGTCCTCTAGTTGATCCAAGTGTTCAGGCTTGGCGCCAGCACGTGAGCCCACTGAATAGGCAATGAGGACGAAGCGATTGCCAAGCCATGGCATACTGCCATGAAGTAGGCGCCGGCTGTCAAAAAGGACAGCACGGCCGGCCGTGTCATGGCAGGTGCCAAGATACTTGACCCCCTCCAGGTCCATCCGTGTGTCTCCAGCATTATCCTGAACCCACAGCTGTCCCTGGTCATGGTGCGAGAGGCCAACCAGAAGGCTAGCATCTGTAGCATTGTTGACATCGTAGTGCGGTCGCGTGGAGTTGTCCAGGCTAATGCTGAGTGAGGTCCATCTGTGCGTCGGAGCAATGGCATGAATCAGACTGTTGAAGACCCGGCTCGCCACCACATGCACGGCAGTGGCTTCCGCACAGTCCACCTTTACAGAACAAACCCAGGCGGCAAGTCGTACCTGAGGCTATGTCTCGAGCGTCCAATTCAAAGCTCAGGGCACGTGCAACCTCACGAGCAGCAGACCATAAAGAGCCATGACCTTCATCGAGAAAGGCAGCAGCCACGAGTTCCGCATCCGTCTGAGGCTGTAGGCCGACTGGCGGTGGGAAGGCCACAATGCCATCGTGCGCTTGCAGGTACCCCAATCGATCCACTTGATGCCAGAATTTGGCCCTGGCCGCATCGTCCAGCACCAGTTGTGCTTCTTGCACTAGCTCATGCGCGTAGCCATGGTGATGGCTGGTCGAAGTCCGTGTGTGGAAGGCAGGAGATCACGCAGCAGTGAGAGGAGCATGGCTTCTTCCTGAGCCACGGAAGCAATGTCCGCTGGCAGCTCAAGCTGAGGATGCATGCTATCGCAACCGTCTGGTGTGGAGACCTAGGCACACCAGGTGTACCTACCCGCAGTACACACAGATTGGCAAGGGGAGCCAGCTGCATAGCGACACGGCTTAATGTGAGCTAGCAAGCTGCGTGTGACGTCAGACACACGGCTGACTCATGCATCATAAGCAGAGTCTCAGGTGTGGACCGGTGGTTGTTGGAAACGCTCCCTATGCGTTGCTATGGGTCGACCTAGACCCACCGCCCGGATGATCTGAAGCCCCGGCTGAGGCAAGAGTACATTCATGCAGTCTGAAAGAAACGGCATAAAGCATGCAAAGATGACACACACTCAAGAAAAGGCTTGCAGGTGTTTCTGCCTGGCAGGAAACGCGCTTCGGCGTAGCCCAGAAACTCTTATCGGCACCCGGAACGTCATTACGGACAGCGCATGAGACCCAACAAAAAAGCATTGTGATCTACCTGTTGTAGATCTGATGATTGGGCTTTGCGAGGGGCTCGATTGTCATCGCACACGAGATACTCCCACGAATTCTGGTTTTGGATAGTGACCACATGTGGGAAGCTCGCCTAGGTGGTAAATGATGGAGGCTATTTGGAAGGTTTCATGCCGTGTCGTCAGGCTGTCAGCATCCGTGAACACTGGAAGGATGACTGAGTCGCTTGGCCGGACGCGGAGCAGGCTACGGTCTTTGGATGCATCGTCGGAGTAAACGACACAGCTGCAAGAACAGCATGCCATTATGCTCAACAGGGGCATGACGTGCAAACTGACCATGCCAGCCATCCACCAATCCCTGGACGTTCGGGCCTGGGAGATGCAGAGGTATAGCCTGCAGCAGCGTGCCTGAGTCAACGGTGCTCGTAGGATTCTCCAGTCTAGCATGCCAGCAACCCTCCCAAGCCTCAGCCTGTGCGATGCGCAGGCAGTGAGCCAAGAACTCCCCTGCATCGTGTTGCCGGTGCAAATGACGCCAGCAGTCAAACAGGTGCCGCAATGTAAGGCAGTCTGGCAAATGCACAGGTTGGGTGGCCCTCATGATTCGCTTGCCTGGCTGCAGTCTACCAAAATCGCGGCCGGTGATCTCGGCAAGCCATCATGGCCTGGAACGTTGCATTTATGTAGCAGACGTTAGTCTTGTTGCAGAGCTTAACAGCAAATGGTGTAGGGCCCGGACGGGCAAAGGGGCGCGCTACCTGGCGCGCTCGTGGGCCGCCCTACAGGCCCGACGTCCCTCTGGTCTCGTCTGCTCCAGTCGCAAAACGGCATGCGGAGACAGGCATCTTCCAGGGCTGCCGCCAGCGGAGGCTTGTGAATCCTGTCGGGTCGCCAGTGAACCCCCTGCAGCTTGACCAGCACAGCCTTAGAGCTGCTTCATGGCTTCGTGGCACTGGTCTCTGACCCCGTAGGCCCAGGTTCTGAACTTGGTCATCGGGATGCACCCCAGCTCGGACGTGTCGCAGAAAGCGATGAAGCCCACGTCTGGCCTCAAGCGGGCCAGTTCCTGTTCGTGCCTGCCCGACATCTTCACCAGGCATTTGACCAGGTCTTGCATCTGCTCGCTCTCTACGCTCGCATCCGTCTGGTGATCGTCTCGGTGGCCCGGCCATTGGCGCTGGCCTCGGCCTTGCCCCCACGCATCCCAGGAGCCTGAGGATGGACCTTTGCCCTTGTTGCCGTCTTGGCGGGGTTCGTTCTCCGGCGCACCCTGCTCCAGCTCCTCGCCCCGGCTGCGCTCCTTGTCCTTGTCTGAGGCTGAGGCCTTCTCCCAGGCCCCTTACACACTGCCAAGCCACCTTTCAGGCATCTCTTGCGCATTTGCACTTAACACAAGGCGAGCCTGCTGAACATGGCGGAGGCGATAAAAAAAACCGGCCGGGTTGTTTCACACGCATCCCATAGTAGTGGCACGGATCCGGCAGTCGATCTCAGGGCCCAGATTTCTGAAGCGATTGCCCCGCTGGCCACACACAAGACAGTGCTCACGCAAAACACAGTTGATGCTCGGCCGTCTCACAGCCTCCCGCCAGTTTTCTGAAGGTGCCGGCAAAGGTCAGGGTCATCAAGCAGGCCTCCAGAACGAGCTACAGGAACTGGGTGCAATGTTGCCCGGTCGCCTTCAGGAGGAGCCACCTGCAGAGTCCGGCCCCTTGGCGACTCTGCCCGCGGCACAGGTACCTGTTCCGTGCCAGCGGCGGTGGTCCCCCTGTCCAAGTCACCCCTTTGTCTAGAGCTAACACACCCCGATTTAAGATGCTTCTTTAGAGCCTCAACTCGGGTGAACTTGCGACCGCAACTAGCGCACTGTGGCATTCCATCTACGGCTCCGGCAGAGTAGGTGAGTAGGCGCAAGCATCCATGACCCCTGGCTGCTTCCTAGCATTTTGACCCTGGTAGCCATGCCTCTTAGCCTGGTGAGACCTCATGATCTGCGCTGTGCTAAAATACTGACCACAGTCGGGACAAGCGATGCCAATTTGGGGTTCAGGGGTGAACGGATTACTGTTGTCTTCATCCTGAGAAGCAGGCAGAGAAAGCAAGCCTAGGAGCTCTTCTTGAAGCAGACGGAACCATTGTCGACTCTCTGAACTGGAAACACGCTGAGTGCGTCTGTCAGTGGTCTGCAACAGAACCTGACTTGGAGAGTCAACACGGAGCCCTGCGCTAAGGTCGGACGTGCTTTCCCT